GTGTGTGTGTGTGTGTGTGTGTGTGTGTGTGTGTGTGTGTGTGTGTGTGTGTGTGTGTGGGCTGATGGTGGGCGAGTTGATTTCCTCTGTAGTGGGAGGAACAGACAGTGTTTACTGGCTTCATTCCAGATTGTTGGTGGGAGGTTAAGAGACAGCAACTGACTGAACAGAGAGGAAGAGAGAGAAATGAAGCCTAAGACAGAGAGGAAATGTGGAAATTAGAGTGACGTGATTGATAAGCTGTGCTGGGAGGGTAGATTCTTTTGTACGAATTATTATCATTAGGGTTGTATAGTGCTACTTTGAAAGTTAACAGTTTTTTTTAACAAGTTAAAATGGGACTTGATGTTCAGTTCAAGCTAAGTATGATGGGTCCTGGGCTCCACTAAGGTAGTGTTGTTTCCCAGTTTGATTAGCTGTACCTCAGGGGTTTGGGCAGAGATGACCATATTAACAGTAGAAAATCTATGAAACAGAGTGTTTAGAGCTTTATGAAGGCTGCTGTACAGCTTTTGGTATAAAGATATTACTTAGCAACCTTTTTACTTAAGAGCATCCGTTACTGTACCTGTTTAGAGATGACAGGAAATAAGGAAAAGGATTAAACATTTATAAGTAAGGTGAAAGCAGTCAAAGCATTCGCTTTAAAATACTGAGCTTTACCACATGACATCATTGACACACTGAATTCAGTTTAGCTCAGTTTTATTTATCAAATTGTTATTTTTCCCAGCGAATGCCATCAACCTCTAGCGACCACTTGCAGTCACTCAGGGAATATTCATTTATCCTCTCACAACCAGTGGTCGTCAGATGGTCATAGACTGGTTTCTAAGCCTTTGAGACTGGGGCATTATTCACTTGATCCTACATTGTCATCACGATTGTCACACACTGGTGAACAAGTTAATGTGCTTATTGGTAACTTGTCTACAATACCTCAACACTTAGTAGTATAAAACGTAAGAGTAGTTATTATGCATTTATGGTTAATTTAAGAATTCTGTCTTCACTCATATGGACGCTGTACACATATTGCACTTGGTAAGTGACAGGGTAAATGGCTAATGCACAAGCCGACTGTTTTGAACACACTCCACACACAATTTCACAGTGAGTGTATTAAAAAGGCCAAGGTTTCTGTATGAGAGTGAAAATGTCTCATTTTAAATCTTCACTTTATTCAATCTAAAACGCAATGTGTTGTTTTTTTCTCTTCCTCTCAGGCGCCCAAGGAAACCCTTGCAAAGTCAGTTCTGGCTGAGCTGCCTCAGCAGGTCACCCAGTACTTTAAACAGCGGAATCTACCGCCCATTAACCCAGCACCAGAGTGAGACGCCCCGAAGACGAGAGCCCACATGAGATACAAGAGCTTGACGAAACCCCTCCTTTTTGTTAATGGCAAACAAAACAGAACGAAACTGTACAGTATATGTCAGCAGTAGACAAAAATTAGTTGTGGAAAAAAAAAATCCAACGTTGAAGACATCTCTAAGTTTTCACTGATTAAAGAATGTTTGGTCAGTTTTCAGTGTAAACCCATCTGAAGTGATACTCTTTCTTTCTTCAGTCTTTCCAGCACACAGATCAGTGATGATAATGTGTAGAGTACCTTGCATGTCCAAAATGTGCAGATAAAATGCAGGTGAAACACTGGCCTGTTTAGGGGAAAATAAATTAACTTATCAGGATGTATTTTTTTTCTTTTGCTTTTTGCATGTGTATGTGTCTTGTGATTGATACCATGTGATACATACAACTCCTTTGTGTGAAGTCCTCTTTAAGCTGAACTGTATCAGTGGTTGATTCCTCTTTATTCTTGTACCTTTTGAGGTAGCATATCAGATGAAAGCTGTTTGCTTTTGTGCTCATGTGTGATGGACTCATACACTGAGTCTCAACAGAGCAGCATTTATTTAACCCTCCAGGGGGAAGGGTTCTGTTTAAAAGTTTTGATCAGCAGTTATCTGGGAGGCAGATTTAATGCTCCACTATCCTTGGTGAAGTAAAGAGGACATAACCAGAGAAGAATGAGGCATACTGGCAGCTGTAGCACTACCACAGGACAGATGTTGGACACTGAGTGTATTCAGTAGGCCGTTTTGCTAGCTTTTGCAAAATCCGTGTATTTTACTTATGACTTAAGTTCATCCTGCATGTTGCCAGTATCTACTCACTGTTTACAAACTGATGATCACAAATGCATGATGGGTTTTTTTCCTCAAATTATGTACTTACCAGATTTTGTAAATATTTTATGAGATTCTGTTGCAAAGAAAGTATTACGTGATAAAGACAGAGGCTGCAGCTGTCACAGCCTTAAGAACTGGAGAGGGCAGAGAGAGCAGAGAAGGTTCTGATATGCATATATCGAATGTATATTTCTATGACACTGTTTATGTTATAAGAAGCCAATGTTTATGCCATGTTTTTAATGTACTTTTTATGCAGTGCTAAATCGTGTAATTAAACTGAAATGTGTATTGCTGTGCATCTTTGTACTAAATGTGTTGCTATTAATTTTATAAAGTTGTGTCTATGTCCACACTCAGGATAATAAAGTAAAGGAAAAGTCTCTTGGCCTCTGTGCAATGCCTATTGCACAACTTCCATTGAGTACTTATGAGACTAGCAGTATGATGCTGTAACTTTGAAACCACGTGTTATCCTGGTTGATCTATGATTTTAGTTGCATTCTCTTTGTTTTATAGTCCATTAAATTATTCATTGAATGGCGGCTCTGAACTGTAGGACCGAGCCACACTCTGATAATGTGGAGAACATTGACTTCCCTGAAAATGATGTCGGGACAGCAGCACATGTTGCTATAACACTTGGTACAGAATTAACGATGTCTTCAAACATTGCAAGTTACCAAAGATCTGTGCACTAGTCTAGGCTGTGCACCTATAAGTCTCTGAATTTCTTTTTAAAGCACTACCATCTAAGAACCTAAAGATCACAGCCATTCAGCATTTATCTGGATCCTTCTGACTTATATATTGAAAAATTCTCCAGATTCTCTGAATGCAAATGTGACCTGTGGTCTTTAACAATGTGGTTTTAACAGAGAAGTGAACCCTGCCCACTGATACCCCTGCCTCTCTGAGTTGCTCTTTTTATACTCATGTTGCTGACTTTTGTCCGTTAACCAAATTAGATGTAAAATGCTCGATCCGGTGTGTTTTTCAGAATTGTATCCATCCATCCATTCACTTCCGCTTATCCTTTTCAGGGTCGCGGGGGGCGCTGGAGCCTATCCCAGCTGTTATAGGGCGAGAGGCAGGGTACACCCTGGACAGGTCGCCAGTTTGTCGCAGGGCCTTGTTTCCAGTGTTGTTGAAATGGTTTTTTTTAGTAATAAAATTTCATCAACTTTAATGTGCAAAAATCACAGTAAATTTTGGGGCAGCAGTGGTAGTCGTTTTTGCAGGTGGTGCATTGATTAGCACGTTTGGCTCACAGCAAAGGTCCTGGGTTGTCTGTCTCCATGTGTTAGCCCTGCAGCAGTTTGGCAACTTTTCCAGGGTGTACCCTGCTTCTTGCCCAATAACAGCAGAGATAAACTCACATGACCCACATGACTGGATAAGAGGAAAGCTGGATGGCATTGTGTTTTTATCTACAGCTTTTGGAAATAACGCTGTATGAATATTCTCAAAATAACCACAAAAAAGTAGCCACAAAATGATGCAACAAAACTAAAAACAAACACCCACAAAGAGATACAAAATTATCTGAAGCTATGCAACATAGAAACAGCTACAACGCAATGTAAAGGGACCACAATAAGACGTTTAACACCAGTGATGCAGGGTGACTATGAAGAGTTACAAAATTACTACAGAAGAGGAAATGCAACCTTTAAAGCAACCACATAGAAACAAATAAATACAAATAGATGTTCACTCACCCCAAGCTTCTACACCTGCCTCTATACATAAGAGCAAATTTTACAGACACAGAGATGTGGGTGGTGGACACTTATATACTTTAACTCCACATGACTCACCTCTGATTTTTCCCATTGGTTTTGCTTAGACTCAAGAGATCATGAATTACAGCTTGCCGCTATTAAACAGACTAAGGAGACTAATTTCATCTTACATAAAATTTGGCAGCTTAGAAACATGAAATACTACAGAGAGGAAAAGAAACTTCTTGAACCTCTGTGGACAGACTGTGGATTTTATAGTCCTGTGGTTTAACACCTCTGACTTTGATACAAACTACCTTGGACACACTGTATGTAATAATTGCCAGATTAAAAAACAATGTTGCTCCTGGGTGTGTGTGGTTTGCCTCAAAATGCAAATTACTTATTGACATTTTCGTATATTATTTGTCTGTCAGGTTGTCATAGCAACGCTTTTTACAGCGGCACCACACTAAACTAAGACACCCATGCCATCCTTAATGATGCCAGTGAACTGAGCTCAGATGGACTGAAACACTTGTTTCTGACCATCATCACAAGATCAAATCACCTTCTAGTCCCATTTGACAAACTATATTTCTAAAGGCTTTGAGATTGAGTCTCTTATTTGAGTAGCAAAGATTTAATCCATTAAAGAGAATTGAAAAATTCCATGTTAAATGTTTAGCTTATTAACACACTGAGAGAATTTAAATGTTATCTTCACACCTTGACTGTCACCCTGTTTTTCAATCTCAAGTCAGCCAGCTGAGCTCAGCTCCAGATGTACAGTTCTCCTGCCAAGATCTTAATGAGAACTGAATACACATCCCACAATCCAATTAACCAAATTAATTTTGATCTAGTCCAATTTTGCGCATTAAATTCAACGCCCATGTCAGTCTGATTCTGAGCCACAGTATTGTGCAGACAGATAACAGGCCCTTTCATATACAGTCATAAAGAACCACCTGCGGCGACAAGAAGAACAAGAAGTCCGACAACAGAGGGTTTGATCCCCACAGAGCACTGATGTCAACTTCCTGAAGTCAGTCCGGATTTCAAGGAAGATACTGAAGACACGGAAACAGCTTGAATCCACAAAAGACTCGTGCGACAAGATACTTGGAAGAAGCAACCTGCTAAGGTTCTTGGAAAACTGTGCACAAAGTCTACCTAGAACAACAGGGACTTTTTCGCTTCGTTTTTTTTTTAAAGTCAGAGTGGTAACACAAAACATCTCAAAGCTGTCGGAACTGTCACCAAACTGCATTGTTAGAAATATAACAGAAGGTGTGTAGTGAAAATGATTTCTCTAGTTTAGCTCTAGATCTTCATTTTGTAATTAATTACATTACATTGAGAGTGTAATTACATCTTCCAACAAACTGATTTTCTCAAAAAACAAACAAACTTGGAATTAATCAATTTAAAATAGACAGGAGTGGGTGAGAGTTTGTGGAAGCTACCATGTTATCCCACTATCTTGAATACAGTGGCTGAGATGGATATTGTCATTCTGCCAAATCATATTTAATGTGTGTGGGTAGAGACCAGCCACTTAATCTGTGGTAGGACAAAGATGAATGAGTAGAGAACTCGTATGTTCGTGTGTCATGGAGGCAAATTTTAACTTTTGTCTGCACTTACTGACTTGAGATGTGAAGGATCGTACCATTTTATAAGGGTTACCTTCAACAAAGATGTGAAAACACAAATGAACCCTCATCCTCCTCACTTCAAGCCTCATCTACCTGAATGAATATGGGGCTTTAAAACAAAAACAAAAAAAAACATGTAAAATTACTTATTGTTAGGCTCGAGTGATGTATACAGTCAATATCAATTAATGGGAGCCAGAGCTGATGGATTATGCGCTTGAACTGGGAGGGGTAAAATCAGATGACTGCAATCTGTAGTCTACCTGTTATTATTGTTTCTTGTGCACGCTTACATATTTTCTTGCCCATCTGAGCACCTGAGAGTGGAAGCCTACACTACTTCCTTTTTTAATGACTTTTATCTGACCCTTTAACTGAAACGTCTTGAAGAGTGAGATTTGCTGATGAAATGCAAAGGCATTTTCTTTGTCTTCTGTGCGCTTGACAAGAGAGTCACAAGAATTCTGCATGTACTTTTACATTTTACAATCACTGCTAGGTAGATTTTGTTACTTCTGGACAGAACCAGGATTGTTGTTTTCAATTTCCAACCTTTCCAACACACACAGAGAGCTAATTATTGTTAAGCAACAGATTTTAAAAAATACTAGACTTCTTGGACCATTTGTACTTCACAGCAGGCCATATTATTTTTAAATACCTCCATTATAAATGCACTAAAAGGTAAGAACACCACAAAACGAGTCCCAGAAGACAACTGAAGGCTACAGGAACCATTCCAACAAACTGTAATACAATCCAAAAAAGTGAGTTATAAGTAAGATTCACCCCAAGACGGTTGTTATTAACCTTAAGTAAAAATACTTAAACCCTTTTTTGTACAAGGCTCTAAATATGTTCATCAGATGAACTTCAGTTTCTGACTTTTTCACTTTTTCTGCTTAATTTTCAGCCTTTCGGGTTACCAGTGTGGAGAAAACTGTATTGCTCCTCCAGTGGGTACAATATGAATAAAAAGTGTAATTACAGGTTTTCCTTTTCCATGAAGCTCCAGCTTTCAGCAGCACTTTCTGAGAATGTTAGCTGCAATGGCAAAAATCCAATTTTAAGGTGAATAATCCATAATGGAGCCCTGGAGAGGGAGCAAAGAGCAGGGAACAGGTGCAAGTAGAAAGGCAGAATATTCAACAGGTTCTGTGCTCCCTTTAGGGGCAGCCATTACATCTCTACATTACCGTGCTGGAGAAAGTGACACAATTCTGATGGGCTAAGAAAAGCACTCAGGCAGAGAGGCAGAGCGAGGGAGAGTGGGTGACATAGATAAAGAGACTAAAACAAGAACAGGAGATGGACAGAGCTCAGGAGACGTGAAATAGGGTCACGATGCAGAGACAGAAGAACATGGAGACAGAGGTGCACAAAGGTTGAGCAGTGGACACACAGTTGGCCAGTGTGTATATGCAAACTATAGAATCTTCCTGATTTTCCACAGCATTAGTTTAGGTCTGCACCTCTGTTTCTGTGTGCACTTTGTGTTCACAGCAGCAAATGACTGTATGCAATTGTCACCGTAGCTACCAGCCTATGATTCAGTTTCCACGACAACCCATCCTCTTCTTCATCTGCAGAGAACCTTTCGGTTAGAAACATGTGTGTCTCCAAAGACAAAGAGAGAGGGTGACAGTGAGGCTGCAATGCTCAGAGACCAGCCACATCGGGAAAGTAAACATTTCTAAAGCTATTTCAGGTGTACGCACACCGCCGAGCTCTGGTGGCGTAGGATCTGGCTCTTGAGTTATAAATCTAAACTAATGTCTAACATTTGTACAGAAACAGACAGCCAACAAGGGCATGATGCAGAGATTGGCACTGTTGCTTCTGGTCAGCTGGGGCCTTTCTGTTCGGAGTCTGCATGTTCTCCCAGTGAGTGTGTTTGTATTTTATTTATTTATTTATTTATTTATTTATTTATTTATTTATTTATTTATGTGAAAGTCAGGCTGATCAGTAACTGATTGGCCCTGGATGTGGATGGGAAACAGCGTGGTTATGTTGTTGTCTCTGCAAATCTGAAGGATCAGAGTCAAGTTTGTATTATGATATTTGTTTATGTAAAATAAAAAATGAAATTATTCACAGATGCAGATGGGGAATGAATAAAAGAAAAAAACAGAAAGTCTCATAGCTGTTGGTGGCTTCACTGGAATTTGGCATTCTCTAGAACTCTACTGGAGAGATAAACAACAATCATGCAACACATATTCTTTCACCTGGTGATGGAGACTTCAAAATACAGATATTTTGTTGGGTTGGATTCAGGTGACTATCAAGACCACAGCGTGTGATTCACATCATTTGGATACTCATCAAACCACTCTCAACAAGATATAAATGTTTCATCTTAGGGAAAAGGTTATCTCTCCCTACAGCTGTGTATTGACCTGCAGTGACCCTTCCCAAACACAAGTGGATCCAAACCATAGCATAACAGGGCCACCACATGCCCTCACTGCAGGGGTCAGATGTTCTTCTTTTTCCTTTAATTCCTTTTACTGTATTTAGAACTACTGAATTTTTAAAAGCCTACACAGATTATTATGCATACAAGTATTAATATCAATATTGATCTGATGCCAAATCTACTGTAATGTAAACAGAATTTTACTTTTACATCTGTACAAATCTTTCAATACATTTAATCAATTAAAAGTGGCAGATAAATAACACAAAGTCTTTTGCTCCAGCTGGGAAAATACACACAGGTATTGCCACTTTGGTGGAATGATAACATATCTGTTGTCTATAAGGCGGACCATTTTCTCAAAAGATTCGTTACTCGCCGTGCTCACTGGACACCGAATGAAATGCAATTGCATTGGTGATTTCAGTGCGTCTTTGTGATGTGGACGGATACACAGACGCGCGCTGTAGCCTACAGGCTCGCTATTATGGACGCCTGAGTTGATGCTGGATGATTCACGTTAGCATTGCATTGTTTTTCTTCGCATTCATGAATTAATTCTGCTGTAATTTGTGCAGTTTGAATACATTGTGTTGCTTTTTGTTGCAAACACACGGCACTCGTTGCATTTGATTTCTTCTTTATTACTTTCCGTAATTTAGATGTTGATCCGCTTTGAGGGGCAAGCTCTTCATCCTCTGCAGTGACTTTCTGTAGTGGCATTTAAATTTCGTTGTATATTTGTGTCCAGACTGCATCTAAGAAACTTGAAGCTGCGCGCTGCAGGGAACAGCGGCGATCGGTACATGTACACACGTGGTGCTACATGATTTTAGGGAGCGTCTGATTTCCTGTTGTTTTGAGTTTTAACAGTCGGAGCGATGCTCGTTAAATAGTGGGAGGCCAAATTAAAATACAAATAATTGGGCAGCCCTACTTTTATTTAGCCTGTACAAAATCTTTTTCTTTTTTTTCATGCTTGCATACGTTTACTAGCTGCTGCCTTATCGTTGCAGTCGAAACATCAAAACTGATACAAATCCCAACACCCATAAGTGGTGAACTGTTCCTTTAAAAAATGACTGAGCTTTTAGCATTAATCTCCATGGTGCAATGCATTTTATCACAGGACCTGACAACATGTTGATAATATAAATAAATAATAACCTCGCTGCATTTGTGGAAGCATGTATAATTACTAAAAGGCACTGAAAGGCTCACTCCCCAGCTGATTGGTAAAAACAGCACATCAGACTGACTAATCAACCCACAAGAACATTTGGGTTTCAGTTATGTGCATGCGTTTTGAACAAACAACAGTTATTTTAGAGACACTATGGCTGAGGCCATTACTTTCATTGGACTGGGACAGAAAATACTGTCTTGTAATTTCAGTTTTTCAGCTTAGCAATCATCAATAGTTACTATTTTGGTCGTAGTGCATCATTTATAATATCTGACTTAACTTCGATATAATGTAACCCTCAGCTGAATAAAACCATTGGAATGGTTTTCTTTTCTTTCTTTAGGTTTTATTTATATAGCACCAATATACAACATCAGTGCCCTTAAGGAGCTTAGAGATCTTAAAGTAAATGCCCTACTTTATTAGAGATAAAACTCCAACAATCACATGATCCCCCTGGGTAAGCACTTGATATGGCTGGAAGGAAGAACTTCCTTTTAAAAGCAACTGACTTCTAGGAAAACCAGGCTCAGCGACGGGCAAACACTTGCTGCAGCAGGTTAGGCTGTCAGAGGTTGGACTATTAAACCGGAACAAATTTTCAAAATATAAAAGTGATTCTAAAAATAAGTTATGCTTGAAAAATTGTGTTTGCATGATGTGAGGCCAGTGATGTCATCCACTGGCTTTTGAAGTCACGTGTAAGAAGCTGCAAACCTCCTGTTATACTTATCATCCTTTTTGCTTTTTGAAAGCAGATGTCACAAGAACGGGTTGGATCTGACTGTGAAACTGAAGGTTACTTCATGGCACTGCACAGTCATATGATAGCAACTTGCCAATCCCATACACCGTAAAGCATAACATGCTTCTGGACAAAAATGGGAACCATTTATTACAAATGAAACTACATGTTTCCTACATTTGTCCAGCAACACTTGAAACTATCCGTGAAACTTTAAACTAGCCAAGAAAGTGTTTGCAGAGGGAAAGAATTAAGTGAGTGGAGGATCGTTTTTCTTTAAACTGTACTTTGCTTTAGCAACACAGGAGGCTGTGGCCTGTGGGCGCCGCTTGCTAAACGTACACATTCCATCATCTGGAATCTGTCACTTAAATCGAAAAGGCACTTCAAGAAGTCATCGTGAACAAGACGAACGAGTAAAATAAATGACCATCTACCCTTAAAATGTAGCTGAACAGTCCTCCAGAGATACCTTTGGACCTCATTAATGGATTTTAGGCGCCATCTTGTGATCAATTTAGTAACTGCTTACAATCTTATTTTTATGGGTTTACTCATACTCATTAGTTAATCTGAGAAGGCAAACTTACAGGGAAGGTCGAATATATACAACTTTGTACTGTATATTTACGGTTTTATCTGCAAACGTAATTTATTTGAAAAGCTTTAGTCTTTTGTTATTTTCATGTTTATTCCGTCTTGTTTTGACTATTTTTTGTTTAGACCTCTATTTATTTGAGGTTTTGGTTTGTTTATTTTTTCTGGAAAATGGAACTACAAATGGTGCGTATAATTAAGGGACTCTTTAATTATACGCGCAAGAAGCACACGATGTAGATATAATTAATAATTGACAACAACTGTGTCTACTAATAAATCTAGGTCATCGGTAATATTCGGTAGGCCTTTTCTGTTAAAAAATAAATAGAAATAATCTATTAACATATATTGAAAACAGAGCAGCGTGCGTTTAACAACAAAAAAGTGAGTCGGAACTTAATTCGAACGCCGTATTTCGCGACGAGCCGTCTTCAGCGTGACACAAAGATCATTAAACTGGAGCGCTAATCTAGCGAGAAGCCTGGATCTTGGTAAGGTTTATCCACATACAGGTCTTTAATCTTGATACGAGGCAGTCCTAAACGAAAGACTTCTTGGTCATGCATCTGAAAATATTTCTTTTCAGACTTGACATGATGTTCTGTTGCTCTTAAATATTATTTTTAACGCTAACGAAGCTAACGTTAGCCGCGGCTTTGCAACGCACAAGGCATCTGCGAGTTCAGAGTTTGCTGCTCTGCTATATAGGCAAGAGGTCAGGTGTGTGAGTGTTTCCTTTAATCTTTGTGTGTCCACAGCTTTAAGGGACTAACTCTGTGTAGCGGCTGGCGTTGTTCTCGCTGTTGTGTGTAACAGTGAGTGAATCATCAGGGCCCATTATAAACCAAATGCTTCGGTCAGTTAAGCAGATCTCTCACTTAATTCACTCGTCACCTTATTTCACGTCAGTTAAAGTTTTAAAATGGCTTCAATCTTCATATTCATCAGAGGGCTAAATAAAACCACGCAGATCGGTACAGCTTAGTCGAAATATTGTGCAGTGGTGTTGTCCAGCTGTTGCACTTGTTATTATTGCTTTGTATGTGATGAACTGATAAAAATAACAGGCTTAATACCATCTGCTGTAATGCCAACCAATGAAAGCTGTCACGTGATGGCCGTTTTCATCTTTTGTACCTTATTTTTAAAGTCACCAAAATATTTTGCAGGAAGTGTGCAAGCCAGTAAATTGATTTGTCAGGAAACGTGGCAAAATAAACTATCGTGAGACCTGTTATGACACGTGGTTTGGAGATGTCGACAACAAAAACACAGGAGGCAGTGCTGGATGTGGCAGAGTTGAAGATGTTAATATTTTTACTGGGAGTGACCATGAGGGACAGGATTAGAAATGAGTATGTCCGAGGGATCGATCAGGCTGAGCGGTTTGGAGACTAAGTTAGCTGGGCAAACAAGACTTGGATGGTTTTTACATATGCAGAGGAGGGAACGTGCATATTTTCAAAAGATGTTGATGATAGAGCTGCCAGGCAGGACGGAAAGAGGAAGGGCACAGAGAAGATTCGTGGATTTCATGAAGGAGAACATGCACAGGGTTAGTGTGACAGAAGAGGTTGCAAAGCATGGGATGAGTGGGAGGCATATGATCTGATGTGGCGACCCCTAAAGGGCACAGCTGGAACAAGTAGTAATTGTTTTTGTTTTATTTTTTTAATGCAGAGATGGACATTTCATCAGAAACCTGTTCTAGTGATGCCATTGTGTTTTACAGTACCATGTCACATTTATTCAGCAGACTGTAACCTCAGGTGGTTGTAAACAATTAACACTTGTAAGTATTGGGAATACGCAGTAGTCAGCTACAAAGTCTTTTAAGGGTTTTGCTTATTTTAATGGAATAGACTTATTTTTTTGCTGAGCTATGTCAAGAATCAATTAATATTCTGTGTTCTTTGAGGAAAACCCAGAGGTACTGATTGAGCAGTCACTTGTAAATGGTCTGTGTCCAGTGCGGAGATGGGACAACACATTTTAGAATGGTATTCAGAGCTTCTGTGTGGCTGTAGAGCAGGTAGTCTAATCTGAAGGTTGGTGGTTCGATCCCCGACTGCTCCAGTCTGCATACCAAAATTCTAGGGCAAGACACTAACCGAGAATTGCTCTCCAATGCGTCCATTGGAGTGTGAATGTTACACAGAAAGCACTTTGAGTGCTCAGAGTAGAAAAGCGCAATATAAGAGTCAGCCAATTTCTGTGTTTTATGTTGCGCAGTTGTAATGGAAGGAGCAGAAGGAACAGGTGTCGACCTCAGCAGGAAGTTTGTGTCTGAAGCAGAGCTTGATGAGAAGAGGAAAAAGAGACAGGAGGAATGGGAGAAAATCAGAAAACCTGACGACCCAGAGGGTAAGAACACATATCCAAAACTATACAAAACCTCTAAAGGATGTCCCACTGTGCATGTAACCCCTTTATATTTGTCCTTTGTACTTCTCAGAGGTCCCAGAGGAGGAGTATGACCCACGCTCCCTCTTTGAGCGGCTGCAGGAACAGAAAGACAAGAAACAAGAAGAATATGAGGAGCAGTTTAAATTCAGTAGGTCTTTGTGGGTGTTGCTCCACTTTTCATTAGGGTTTGAATGAACACTTTTCTTCTGTAATTCTGTGATGTAAGAGATAATGAATAATGTATTATCAGCAGTATGTGTCAGTACACTTTAACATTCAGTTTCTAAAGGTTGTTTTTGAACAGCTTCATAGCAAATGTAACTTAAGCTTTTTAGAGCACAAGCCACCATTTTTAGACATCATTAAGGTCCACTTATTAATCAAAGTCCGAATCAGCCTTAAAATTGTCTTTGGCTCTTGAGGAAACTTTGTAAAGTCTGTAGATTTAATCTTGAAGAGTTTATCAGAGTTCCAGTGGTGTGAAACTTTGTGCCCCTTCCTGATTTTATTGTACGTTTGTCACTCGTAAATGTTTCAGATCATTAAACAAATTGAAATATTAGACAAAGATAACACAAGTAAACACAAAATGCAGTTTTTAAATGAAGGTGTTTATTATTAGGGGGGCAAAAATCCAAACCTACATTGACCTGTGTGGAAAAGGAGATTAAAGTGGAGTAGATCAAAGGATCCTTAAAAGCCAGACATCACACTGTGATCCAAGGAAATTCAGGAAAACTCTTTCACACCACTGTATGTCAGGTTGGGAATTGAGATTCTTCTCCCAACAAAATAATGGGAATAACTACTCCCATAATTTGGTGCTTTTAATTCTGATGAAATTCAAGATTTCAAAAATGTCTTCACAACTTGGAAGCAATGATTACATTAAGGGAAACATTGAAATTTATTCTCCTGCTTCGAGTATCAGACAACTTACCCCCAGTTTTTATGTAGAGCTTATTTGGAAAAGCTCTCTTCAGTTTGTTCATTTATAATTCCATATTCAACATTTTTGCAAGTGATGTTAGATTTTTGTTTTCAGTGCTTCCTCAGATGACGCTACTTTGTGTGTTTGTGCAGTTTTTATGGCAGATTGTCTCTGGTTTGTTTTCGGGGAAATGCAGTCACTCTCTTGTCATGTGTTTGAGAGTATGTTTCTATGGTAACAGAGAACATGGTGAGGGGATTGGATGAGGATGAGAGCAGTTTCTTGGACGAGGTCTCCCGGCAACAGTGTCTGGTGGAGAAACAACGCAGGGACGAGGAGAAAAAGGAGCTGTTGGAATACAGAATATCCTTCATATTCAAACAGGCCACTTGCACGGTTGAGATTGGAGTCGTAGAAGCCAGCATGCAAAAATAAAACCAGAATGAGAGTTGCATTTAAGTTTGCGTTATATTAAAATCAATAGCAATTCGAACTCTCATTCAAATACGAACTGCCTCCACAGCAAGATTTCTACTTCTGAGGTTGAGTTTTACATTCATATTCTTACTAGTTTGAGTAAAGCTTTCCAGTCTGCTCTCTGGTGTCTCCCTTCAGTTTTTAATCCCCCACTTTTCCACGCTAGGAGCCCATAAGGAGTTTTTTTTTTTTTCTTCACCTTAACTGTGTAGCTTCACAGCGCTCTAGTGAAGCAAGCATCTGCAGAGAGCCGCAAAGAGCCTGAAAAGAAGGTGGCACCTAAAGGGGTGGAGCACAGGACCAGCCACCTGTCACAGGCCCATTTATTAGTTGGAGCTGTAAAGAGACGCAAGTATGCACATGAACATGCACCATCCTTAAAACGTGTTCTTGTTGTTTTCACCTGTTCTCAGCTGCATTTGAGTAAAACACCAAATCCACTGTTTTACTTTTAAGATTAAATTTTAAAACTTACACTCTTTTTTTTTTCCATTTTAAATCATGCTTTTTATTGTCTCTGTAAAGCACTTTGAATCACCTTGCTGTTGAATTGTGCTATATAAATAAACTTGCCTTGCCTTGTTTTTTAGCTGCCATTAGCCTCTGCCCTCCACCTGCCAAAATCCAAATTTGACTCTCCTTTAATATTACTTTGTAGCCAGAGGCTCTTGGGTCTCAAAGTGGAGATTCTTTATAAACATGCTGACTTAATGCTATCTTTGCTCAGGACACACTATTGAAAATGACTTCAGCTTTCTCGTTAAATAAAGGAAAATTAGTTTTTTAAATACTCCAGTGTTTTCACCATCTAGGCCCTAACTTTGTCTCCTTTTCTTTATTGTCTGGCTCAGACTTGTTTTTGTTCAAAGTACAGAGCTCAAAGAGACTAACAGTTTCAATAGCACCGACAGAGTTTGTTGATAATTGCCACACTCAGGAATTTCACAAAATTGCTGATATAAAAATATTAATTGGATCAGCTTTAAGTCTTGTTTTTCTAATCTCTTTGTTCTCTCTCCAAGTTCCTCACAATCAGACAGCAGTAAGAAACAGAAAGTGGAAATCACGGCAACAACAGCAACGACAGGAAATGGAGAAAAACACACAGGTGGGCAGCAGCCAGAAAAACACATTAATATGCAGCTCATATAATATACAGTGGAGTTTGTTCCCTGTGAGCCTGTTAAAAAGTGGAAATGGATGCAGATTCAGTGGACCACTCTTACTCTCTTTCCTACAGTTCAAATCACTGTGACTGTTGTATGTTGGCACAAGGTCTTACACTTAAGTTATGCTTTCCAGAAGAGGGGGGCGGAGCAGGAGCCAAAGATCAACAGACAGTCCCTGGCGTCACTGCAAAGCCGCCCTCAGCCGCCTTGAGCTCCGGCCAAGGCGTACTACACTTGCCGTCGGCGGCCGTGTGTGTCGGTGTTTTACCAGGACTCTGCGTTTATTCCGGCAGCAGCGACTCTGACAGCAGCTCGGACAGCGAAGGTAGCGTGGACGCAATTATGTCGCCGTACCCACGGCACAACAGGGCCTACAGATAGACATACAGCAGCATCCACACACAAACTGACGCATGTTGGCAGCAATTAGAAAAGGTGACCTCACATAACACATGCACACACAAACTGATTAAAGTCATTTATAGAGGCGTATCTGCAGGTAACAGGAGTTATTGTCAAGTAAGTCGTACACATGCAACACACAGCAAGCAAACATTTTATGAATTCCTGTTGTTTTCACAGCTGTGAGTTTAACTGTTGCTCTTCGTCATCAAAGTTCAGCCCAGTGATACAACCCTAATAAACCAACTTTAAACTCTATTATGAGCTAAATCTGTGTATCTATTTGTGTTGTTTTGCAATTGTGGCACCCAAACATGACGCCTCCACCCTTCCTTCCCTCAATTGCATGTCACGCAGTTTAAGCCGAGCAACCAATCCCGCACTGCCTACCCTGATGACATCCTGCCCCCCCTACACTCCCTTCCCAACCCAAGCCGCAACGGCTGCAAGCTGTGCTATTGGCTGAGGGAACAGTGATTGACAGCTGTGGAGCAAGGAAGAGACTGCTTTAGACTGTCACATGACTCACACCTTTTAGCTATCTGCAGCAGAGGAGTGAGAGCAGGACTGCGTTTGGGTTGAATGCCGAGTCTGTTTGGATTGAAAAATTCTGTTTTTATTTGTGTGAAGTAATGTATGTTTGTTTAAAAGTTGCGTTATTCTGGGAAGATACTGGACTGTTTATTGCTGTCTCAGACTTTGGGGCGTCTGAGAAGAAATAAATAAAGAGATTTCCCTGTGTTGTGCCGTGTTTTACTTTGGAGTTTCTGAGAGTACAACAGAAACATTATATTTACAGGAAGTTTTAAAAATGGCTCAAGTTTAGGAAATGGGCATGATTATTCCTTTTAATTTGGTGCCTCTAAAGAGTGTAAATGTCTGTTTTTCTGAGAGGTTATAGGAAAAGAGACAGGGATTCATCTAGATTTGGTGTTTTGGGGGCCTCAGCCCCAGTCACAATATCATGCATAATATTAATATTAATGTAAGCAACTCTCTTCACATTTAACAGTTGGGTACACATAACAATTTTAACTTCCAAACCAGCTTAACTAGTGGAATGACCTGTTGCAGTGACTAAGAATAATTCTGAATAAATAATGAATATAACACACCAGTTTAAGGGTGGACACTAGTTATCAAATATGAATGTTGACCAGAATTTTCCAAAGTTAAAGTAAGAATTTTGCGAGGAGAAAGGAGAAACATGCTTTACATTGTTTCAGTCTGTTATGAATGGGATGTCACCAAAGTTCATGCATGTGAAGGCAGACAAGCTAATACTTTTGGCAATACAGTGCATGAAAGAGGTGGTCTAAAATAACATGCATATTTAACAATTGATTACAGTTTGACAGGCAGGGAATAATCTAATGTAAATCTATGAGGCTCTAGCTTTTTCAATAAAGTGTTTTCTATTTTTATTCTGTATTGTAGATGATCACCATATTTGTGTCACCAAACGTAACTTTGTTTCTTACATTTTAAGCCAGCAACATGTGACATCTTCTGCATGTAGAAGGCAGAGAGGTCTCTATGATGCCCTGCAATAACTAAGCTCTTTTTGGCAAACGCTCTCTTGGTGCCAAAAAAAATAACACAAAGTTTGGTACTCGGGATTGTGGCCCTGGGTATGACCCGTGGACATGATTTAGGGTTCATCAATGAAAACCAAAATAAAAGAGGGTCGTATAATTGTGTAATTCTGTTTGTGACAGAAGGTGTTGACAAACTTTTTGTGACCAAATCCATCTGTAATTATATTGCATATATTGCTTTTATGAGGCTATTTGCACTGCCCGAGTGCACCTACTAAAAATATACCAGTTGAACAATTTCTCTCCAGTGTTGTGGGAAGCATTTAGTTTCAAATCCTGGGAAGAATATACATTAAATATAGTCCGTTAAATAATTTAATGGGGAAATGCAAAGAGGCGAATCTCAGTTCATTTTTTCTTTTAATATATGAACTAATACCACACATGGAAAAATAGATCAAGTTCTTTAGTAACGATTGGAAATGATCTACAGGAAAGACTATAAACGGAGGAGTTCGTGGTTCACTCAGCTCTCTGATTGTGATGGCGCAGCTTTGCGCACAGCCTTTGTCAGGGCACGCTGGATAACTGGGTACAGTTTGTAGCATCCCTCAATGCAGGTCCTCACTCCAGCGGTTAGAGTCTCTTCAGTCATTTCTCCATCAGACTGTAGTCCAGAAATCTGGTTCAGGCTTGGGAGGAATGCGACAGTCAGACCACCCTGGTTCTCACAGCTTACCGAGTTGCAGCAGTTTTCCTCCATGTAGGAGGGGTCAACCACATAGGAGGTGCCATCCTGGCGCATGGAGCAACCGAGGACCAGATCATACATTTCGATCCCCGCATCTGCAAGCGCAAGAGAGGCGCATGTGACGGCATGGGCCAGAACTGAACCGCTGTTCTCAAGAACCATCACGTTGACCTCGATCTGAGAGCGAGGGTATTTGTGGAGACATATGGCAGGCTGCAGGCTCTCATGTAACATCAGGGAAAAGTCCTTGTCCTGACTCCCCTGAATCCAGGAGCCCCTCTCCGGGCAGGAAAATGGAGCAAAGCGCATGTCGGTAGTCAATCTGGACACAGAAAAACAGTTGTGGTTGAGTCTTTTTTTTTTCCTTCGTTTTTTTAAACTGTCACAGATATCAGTGTCCACTTCAAACTGAATGCTTTATTGGTATACCCACATAAGCTCAGTTTTCAAACTAACTTGGTACTAAATAATAGTTCACAGTGAGAAGTAATACAAAAACCCGCGACCCTGAAAAGAATAAGCGGAAGCGAATGGATGGATGGATGGATGGATGGATATGTCAAAAAGCGTTTTAATCCCCTTAAAAAACTAAAAAAACAAACAAAAAAGTGCTGCATTTGGATTAAGTCAATAATGTCTCCAGCAATTGTTTTGGGCAAAAGTTAAAATTCTGTTGCATTTCAATTGTTTATGTGGTTTATTAAAGTTTAGACTAGTTTTCACGCATGTGTAGTTCAGAACAGTGGGGGAAATAATAAAAAAAAATCCAAAAATTCTGCTATCCATGTAAGACACAGCAGGCTGTATTTTTATTATGACTTCACAGTTTAATCAGCAGAAAACTATTTCTTTGTTTGTTGTGTTGTTAGAATAGTCAATATGCTTAAAGATTTAAACAAACAAACTCCATACCTTCCACATTTCATATTCGTCTCATCCTTCCGGTCTGTTTCTCTGGGGCCGTAAACGCAGCACATCAGCTTGGTGTTTCCAGCCTCCAAGTACGCGGAGCCTTTAGCTTGGCTCACCAGGCCACAGCGGACGAAAACGGGCCGCACGTCGACCTGATCCCGTCGCCGACCGTCCGCTCTGGGCCCCTTCGAGGGCAGAACCGCCCCCGGATCGCACGAAAAGAGAGACGGGCTCTGAGACACTTCTGGACCACGAACACGTTTGGTGTCAGTCGGCATGTTGAAGTAAATGAACCAAGCAACCGGTCCCGCACGAAATCTCTTCCCCTAGAAACATAGCATGCTGGAGAAATTCTTCCGCTAATATACGCACACTGAAGGATATCACATCAGAAATGCGAAATATCGAGTACGTACGGATGCAGCAATATTTCATCATTATTACTAGTCAGTTCGTATGCCATAAAATAACAGTCACAAAAAGTGATATATGTTATTAATCAAGGACAGAATAAAATCATTTCTTTAAAAAAAATGTAAATAGATAAATAACAACATTAGTTTAAAAAGTTAGAGTACTTAAAACAAAAGCTGGCATACATTGGGCTTGCGGACCTTTCTCACATTTCTCTACATCAACTAACATATTTAAAAACGACAACAAAAATCTGAGCTGACACCGTTTAAGTTGCATCAGCCAAAGCACAGAGATTCGTGTCGCTGCCGTGGCGGGCTCGGTTAAGAAGGACAGTAGATTTGTCCAATAGGAATCCAGAATTCTTGACTTTTCTGTGTAGCCGGACCAGTTGGAGGCTGTCGTAGGCGTGCCCGCTGCTTGTGCTTTCCTTCAGTTTGAGCAGCGTGGAGTGAAGGAGAAGTACCTGATTCATTCTGCGGGAATAGCGGCTTCTGTGAGTATTTTCGTGTGTTTAAATGTAGTTGAAATAAGTTATCTTTATTGTACTGTTCAGCAGAATAGCCTTTCAATTAGAGCAGTGTGCCGAACTGTCTATCTCAGGCTGAGCGCAGGGAGGTAGCTTGAGTTAACTAGCTAACACATTAGCCTGCTAACGTCAGATCAAGCTAGTGCCTCTGCCTACAATAACAATTATAGTCAGCTGACTAGCTTATATTGAAGACTGTCGGTTTTTGGTAGAACTTTAAGAGGAAATATGTTGTATCACATGACTGTCACAAATTTGTGTGGTCTGGAAGTTTATGTTAGGCTTGCGAGATTAAGTTCACTGATTTTGTGCCATGGAGACAGAGAACAGGGCTGTTCCTGTTACTAACCTGAAAGATGGGTCCAATATTTATCATCAACCTGGTCTCCGTCTACCTGTTCTATGATTATAACTGTCCTTATTTTGTCTTGAAAATGGACCATTATTTATTTCTCAAAACCACTGGGCTAATAAATGCTTTGTTGTCAGGACGGGGACATGGGCTATTTGTCACCCAGAAAGCTGAAAACACCAGCTGAGGTTTGCTTTGGCAGTCAGTTTTCACCATTGGGAATTGAGCTCTGCTGCCTTTTAATTATATATGGTATCACATTTTAATGAAATATGTGTACTCCAAAAATCCACAAAGTGCTTATAAACCAATTGTAAGTTGGTTTTGTTTCCATTCTTATCTAAAATTGCATCTGACTTCATATTTAAGATCGCAGCATTGTGTGCCTCACCTGTCTCACTGGATTCCTGAGCTGCTGTTGTTTATGAGAAGAGCGTCAGGCCAATTAGCTGCAGCTAGGTTAACATCCACACCCTACAAACAGACTTAACTTTAAGCTTTTGATGTGGAGTGGTAAAATCAAAACATGCACAATTACTATAATGACCGATAAACAATTTCATAATGTTTTGATACTTTATGGACAAAAACATGTATTTTCGGACCAACACTGGACAGTTCTTTAACCAGCCTTTAAAAGCACTGACAAATGTATAATTCTTTTTTTTTTTTAAATTAAATGGGATTGCCTTGAATGACATTTTAGTACATAAAAAGGAGCTACAAAGTACAGCACTTGCATATAAAATATGAAAGAAAATTGTTGCTTCTTACGGTGAAAACAACAAGGTGGTTTGTACAACCCCTTATGCACCAGCCTTGCCAGAGCTCTCGCTAGTTGCGCAGTCATGACAGGAAGAGAAACCCATGGGAAATTGCTGATGCTGTTGATTGATGGTAAGCCAGTGTTTTAAACAGCTGGTTAAAAAGCTTTACCCAAGATGTGACACACATACACCTCTTCTGTACTTGCTAAATTAGTATTTGGGCACGAGCACTGAGAGTGTACCCTTAAGGGGACTACTGCCTGAAAGGGAAGAGCAGGCCTTAATTGTGTTCTAATAACTCAGTAGTAAAGTTGCTGTTACTCAGACCAAATAATCATCCACCTCTCTAAATGGGACCAGTTTCTGTGAGTTAAATTATTCGTCTGTCTGTGACCTGGAACAATTTAATTGGACCAAGAATTAACTTAAAAAAATCACTGGCTGCATACAAGACCTCTTTAAATGTGCTTGATAGCTAAAGTGTTTCTTTTCTCTGTGTGTAATTTTGTTCACAGAGCTTCTTCAGAATGGACTCCTCCTTGAATGCAGCTCAAATTCGCCAGAAGTTCATTGACTTTTTCTGTCGCTATGAGCACCCGTACGTTCACTCTTCATCCACCATCCCCCTGGATGACCCCACGCTGCTTTTTGCCAATGCCGGCATGAACCAGGTACACACAATGTCTTTCCCGACACTGCTTCCTACACCATGGCTCTTTTTTATGTTCCCACTGATTCACAACTTTTAGAATAAGCTCGGAAATCAGATCTAGCAAACTTTCTTGAAAAAAACAAACAAACTTTTTTTTCTCTCAAGATTTTTCTTTTTTTTGCACCTCATTTTCTTTAGTTCAAGCCCATCTTCCTCAACACTATTGATCCATCACATCCCATGGCCAGGCTGCGTCGTGCTGCCAACACCCAGAAGTGTATTCGTGCAGGAGGCAAACACAATGATCTGGACGATGTGGGTAAAGATGTCTACCACCACACCTTCTTTGAGATGCTGGGCTCCTGGTCCTTTGGGGACTACTTTAAGGTATTACATTTTCTCATCCTTCACATCAGTTTCACTTTTTTGTTACTTGTATTTTTAGTCCCACAGATTTAAATCCTGTTTGTTGAACAGTGCTCGAGTACACACACAGACACATATTGCTGTAGGACCTTTCACCATTTATAAATTTCTCCTCTGCAAACATTTTGTTTGCCAAGTACTTTGTGATAAATGTATAACTAGGCAATATAATCTGCTCCCTCTCAAGTGACTCTACCAACTTCTTTGCCTTGGACAGCAGCTAGCAGTAGCTGTTCAGCTCTGTAGCATTGGTGAGCTCATTGTAAAGGCACAGGAAAAAGGCACTTTCAAAATAAGAGTGAGGGGATTGTCCACTAGTAAAAACATACATAGTGTCATTATCTTAGGTAAGTAGAGAAAAGGAGATAATTCTAATACAAAAATGCTTGAACATATGAGCCTGGGGCTCATCTAATTCTTTTTATATTTTCGGTTGAAGTGGTTAAAGTTGATCTATGTGAGAATCTGGCTGTTCTCTCCTTTTTGTCAATGTTGCTTGTTATATTACAATGACATATTCATTATCATTATTAATGGATAAGACATTGCCTAAACAGCTCTAAATTGTTATTGCATCATTTTTGCTCTCCAGGAATTAGCCTGTAAAATGGCCTTGGAGCTGCTGACTCAGGAGTTTGGTATTGCTTTAGAGCGCCTGTATGTCACCTACTTTGGAGGTAATGAGGATGCAGGCCTGGAGCCTGACCTGGAGTGCAAACAGATCTGGATGGACTTGGGGTGAGTGAGCCTTGGGAGCATTGACTGTATGTAAAAATAGATAAAGCTTGTGATGCAAAAAGTGAAACGAGTTTGCAGGTTTAAGGCACTTCCAATCTTTTTAATGGCAAGAAAGAGGCAGCGACATTTCTGTACAATCAAAATGAGCTATAATCTGATATATATATTTATATATATATATATACACACACACATACATACATACTAGGGATGCAACGATACACAAAATTCACGGTTCGGTTCGATACTTTTTTGATACAAAAAAAATGTTCATGCTTTTTTAATTTGTCATTTATTAAAATTATAAATATATATTTTAACTCAAAAGTACAGTTTTTAAATTGAATGTTGCTGAAACAACAAAGTAATAAAAAAAATAATCTATCTGATCGAGAAATCGCTCATTTTTGGAAAAGAGAGTTTATTACAGAGAAATGGCTCTTTCCAAAATAAAAGCTATACTATATGCTTCTTCTGGGCTATATTCTCAGCAGCATATTAAACATATCAGGTCCCCATAAGGAGAATCATGTGCTAACGGCTGTCTAAATGACTCGGGTAAAGTTTGTAGCATGCATGCTTGTTGTTTTTGTCTGCTTCCACTTGTCTTTGCACTAGGATGATGTCGGCGTAAATGTGCAGTCATATTCGTTGTGTTCCCACTAGTGCTGTCAGCGTTAATCTCATTGAAATGATGTTAACGCCATAACACGGCAAATCTCCGTTAACGAGCTACCGCGGATCTCCCCCTGCATGGGGCTGGACAGCGTCAACACGTTAAAGAGCAAACTGCGCTAACACACTAGTTCCCACCAATGTAATTGAGCATTGCGTGGCACATCCAACATACTGTTTTACTCTTGTCCGCTTACCTTCAGGGTCATGCGTCACATGAAAACCAAAATAGTTCCAAACGCCAGATCTGAATGAGGGTGGGAGAGGTTCAATTTGCCATGTTGCAAGGAGAGCTTAACTTCTGTCTCGCTAGTTTCCCTGCGCTCAGTGAATCTGCGCTCGACTACTCCGCCTAGGCTGCACTGTCGAGCGCAGATCCACTGAGCGCTCAACACAGACAGCATCGTCAGAAGAAAAGTTGATAAAATAAATTAAAAATGTGGTATTGTTCAATACATATGCGTACCGAACCGAAAGCACTGTATCGAACGGTTCAATATCGATACGAGTATTGTTGCACCCCTAATACATACATACATACACCCAGCTGGAAACACTTCACGCAAGTCGAGCTGCCCGAGATTCACAGAAAATGTTAAATTTTTGTGATACATACATATCGTTATCGGGATGATAGATGTCTTATATCGGGAAATGAGATTTTAGTCATATCGCACAGCCACACCTTAAAATAAAAACAAAACAAAACAGTAGTTCAAAAGTATGCATTACAATCCTGGTGATCTCCCTTTGGTCAAATTCCAAAACCTCATCAGAGGACAGAATTTTGTCTGTAGGAAAAACATTTTTGCATGATGTGAATGTTAAATTAATGATGAAAGTCTTTCTCATCTTAAGGGAGTTGATTCAACTTCTGCCGCTCTCTGTTTCTTTGTTTGGTTTAGCGTGGATGAGGCTCGCATCCTGCCGGGCAGTATGAAGGATAACTTCTGGGAGATGGGAGATACTGGCCCCTGTGGCCCTTGCAGTGAGATCCACTACGACCGCATTGGAGGGCGAGACGCCTCTCACTTGGTGAACATGGATGATCCCGATGTGTTGGAGATCTGGAACCTGGTGTTTATCCAGTTCAACAGGTAACACACTCGCGCATCAAATCAAATTCAAATTTTATTTGTCACATACACAGTCATACACAGTACGATATGTAGTGAAATGCTTGGACAACTGCTCGTGACCTAAAGGAAAGGCTATGAATAAGATAGGAAATAAATATGAAAAATTAAAAAGGGGTAAATTTAACTAGGAAGGAATAAAATCTAAATTAAGGTTAAAAATGAAATAACTGTACAACACAAATTATACACACACACACACACACACACACAGTGAAAAATGATCTTACTAAGAGGACTTTATGAATCGATGATTGCATCCATGAAGCAAAATAATTTATTGAAGGAATAATGCTTTTGCATTAAATTCACACATTTTTTTTCACACACCATCACATGCTGTATTAAAAGAGTAATTTATTCTCATACCTTATGAGGCAGTGTAAAATCTTCTTGGTTAATTGCATTCGTTTACACCTTGTGGTGTTTTGAAAATGACTTCCAGGATTAGTCCTCTCAAGGCTGCTGGGCTACACTAATCCATAGTGTTGCTTTGTCCTCAGTTCCAGCAGGGCTCGGGTTTGCTTTCACATCCATAGTTGTGCTCGTTTGGTGTGAGCTAAAGAAAAAAATGATATGTTGTTAAGTTCTTTTTCTAGTCTGTGTTCACAAAACTTAAGCACCCAGCCTTTTGAACTTGCACTCAACATCGATCCAGTAGTGAAATTAGATCCTGTTGCAACAATGTAATGTTTGTTATGCGTTTATGTCTTCTGCTGTGTATAAAAGCTCATTTTGGGGGGGGG